CCCCAAAACCCCAAAACCCCAAAACCCCGTGATAGGCTCCATCTATTGAAATCTCGAAATTGTTTAAAATCACCAATATTCCTCTTCAGCTGACTATATTGCCAAAGGATAGATTATTAAACCCCGATTTAACTTCCCAAAAGAAGATTTTGAGGATCTGAAATTTGGAGAATATTAATAAGGCACGAGTCCGCAAAGAGGTCACTTCTTCTTCATATTAAACCATTGTCTGTATCACTCTTCATGCATCTTATTGTTTCATCTGTTGCATTCTTTGACTGGCCTCCCATCATTGAAATCTTCCAGGTCGATAGGACATTCTATGGAAATTGTTTATTAGAGACTTACTAGGCTCATTATCTTCATAACAAAACTCTGATGATTCCTCACTGCTTTCAGAGCTTGTTTCTGAATCTAATTCAGAGTCTATACAAAGACTTTAGTAGTCTACAAAGCTTAGGGTTTAGTTGAGATTTATAATTGAAAGATAAGCATTTACCAGAGTCAGAGTTATTTTCCTGTCGTCTTTTTAGCTCCTCAATTTTCCTTCGTTGGTTTCTAATTATTTGATCTTGTTGCTTAACATGAAGCTCAAACTGCATAATTCAGTCTTTGTATTCCCTTGATCTCTCTCTGGCTCTAAAATCTGCATCAATGGCAGGAATATGATCTAGTTCTCTTTGCTCTTCAGGCTTCTTGCACATTTTATTCGCCGCCAAGTCAACCAAATACCAAATGAAGAATACAAGGGCTACTATCCATGTCACAGGGTTCAAGTACGTCTCCCATTCTATGTCGAATATTAACTTGCTCCAGAAGTAGATTAAGTGTCAATAAATTGACAAGTAAATCAGCAATGAATAGCCAATCCAGAACCCTGCATCCTTAGACTCATCAAACACAATAGGCAGAGGAATGTACAAGGCGAGGAAAGGAATAGAGAAAAGTCAAATCGTAATAACTTCTGCCTCTTCTGGCCAAGGATCATTGTAAAATAATTCTGAGAACATAGTGCAAATGATTCATCCTAATGGAGTGAAGATAAAGAATATTGATAACAATCAACAGCAAATTTTCGTTCAGGTGGTGACATTATTTTCCTCAAACACTATGATTACCATCAAGGGATGTATAACATTCGCACTCAGCATATAAACATGCACACAAAGATACATCACCAGTGCCTTCTTCCCTCCAACGGTCATTCTCCACACCAACAGCCCCAAAACCACCACAAAGGTAAGAGCATAAACAGTCCCCAAATACCAAGGCTCAGTCACAAGCTTATGTAGTCTTTCCCTAAAGTTCATATTTTTATTAGTAGTTGTTCCAGAGAGGAAATTTGTACGGGGTTTTGGGGTTTTGGGGTTTTGGGG